CCGGAAAGTTGGGACTCGCTAGGAGAGCACAGCCGCCGCCTTCCCATGCCCCCCCCCCCTTCCAGGCAGAGGCAGGCCCAGCTGTCTTCTTACCTGAGCAGGTGGCACCGCACCTTCTGGGCCCGAGGAGGGGTGTCTACTCCTCAGGGCCCGGTGCGAGCTTTCTAACCAGCTCGGGTGCTGGGACCGTGAGAAAGCCAGCACCCCCGAGACGGGGCCCAGGCAGCACGGGGTTTGTTCACCCGCATGCGGCCGTGGCCTGCTGAGCACCTGCGTCGGGGGGCGGGGGGGGAGGAGGGACAGGTGATCCTGGTGACCCGGAGGCCGCCGAGTGCCCATCTCCTGCAGCTGAGTGTCCTTGGGGCTGACTGGTCCGGATTCCCCTGGAAAGCTCGGAAATGACTTCCTGAAGGGTCTGGGGGTCTGGGAAGGACCCCCAGGATTCCCAGCCTCGGTGCCCCTGGATGGATGGGGCGGAGGGGTGGGGACTCCCTGGAGCAGCTGCCCTCTGCTCAGAGCACCGGCCCCCGGGAGCGTCCCAGCTCCTCCACCTCTGTCCCTCCAGTGGGGAGGGAACGGCTTCCGGCCCCAGACACCCGCAGCTGATGCCAGCACAGTCGTGGGCATGAGCAGTACTCTGGGGACAGTGTGGGCACCGCTGGTGCAGCTGAGGGGTGCCCCCTTTTCCTGCACCGTGCTGGGTGACCTTGCACAAGTCCCTCTCCCAGTGATGGTGGGTCACAGAATGTCCCCCTGGGCATATGGAGTGGGAGGGGTGGTGTTGGAGGCGTGCAGCGGGGTCGTGAAACCGCGGACTGCAGGTGCAGGCTCTGGGTGAGCCACCCGGCCCGGCCGACCCGGGGGTTTCATGGCACGGGGAGCCAGCCCCCTCAAAGGCCTCTGTGTCTCTGCCATGTGGGGCTGCTCCACAGATGCAGCGAGATCCAGCGAGGAATGACGACCGCGCTCAGGAGGGGCCGGGCGGGCGGAGCTGCGGGAGAGATTTATCCGTCTCAGTGAATTACAGCGGCTCCCGGGGCTCCGGGCGGGAGGCCGGCGGGAGGGTGGGAGGCGGGGCAGCGTGGTGGCCATGCTGGTCCTGTTCTCTGAGACCCCCGGCCCCGCCACTGTCTCCCCACAGCCAGTTCCCATCTGTGCGCCAGGAAAAAGGCAGTTTTGGGGGGGGATGTTCCCTGGGGCAGCCACTCAGCCTCCACATGTGCAAAAACAGGGGTGCTTCTGCCTTCCCCACGGGCACAGGGCAGGCCCGCGTGGGGC